GCAACTGAGTAAGTCTACTCTTGAGAGTAATTATTATAAGATTATAATTTACTTATTCTTGAACATCTTTTCACAAGTAAATTAACAAATGGTTCTTATTATGTATAAGCTCTCTCAAATATGAATTTAAAAGGACAGCCTAATGGGAAGGCTTATATAACTTAACTTTGGTTATATTAGCTCCTGAGAGTTCTTAATAAATCTAACCATAGTTAAATTGTAATACAATTAAGGACTCTTAGATGCTGAATATATTCTGGGGCTACATATAGGGAAACGGAGGACAACTATTATAATGAGATTTTTTCAAAAGTTATAATGCTAGCTAAAGACAGTGAAATGACTCTAATTCAGGATTTCTGACTTCCATTTATCATTCTTTTCACTAACACTAGCTTCAATATTTTTTGCTTAAATCTATCACAGACGCACTATACTATGCATTTTGCAAACGTCTTACTTAATCCTAAAGACAAAATGGTAGCTGAAGCACCGACTAGTCTATTCTTAATTTTCACATAGGAAATTGCGTTTGGAGAAGTTGATAGATATCTTTTCTAAATTCATATCATAAGAGAGTAACATAAATAGCACTAGAATCCATTGCCAGATTCTCGAAAAGCACGTTTGTGTGTGTGTGTGTGTGTGAGTGGATATATTTACAGTCTGTCCTATTACATGCCCAAAGGCTCTTAAGAACCACATAATTAAAAATCAGTTTGTGGTGATGAGGTTTAGGCTTACAGAAAAGACTTACGGAAGTCTGGGTTTATTCTAATTAAGTGAACTACCAGGGTGCTAAATGAAATTCTGTGCTTGGCAAACTCTCTTTCCTTTTATACAGAGTTACGTTTGTGGATGAAATATTCTGAGGATGAATGTTAAAAGCCCTTGTGACACCTAGACCCTCTCCAGAATTATTTTCTGAAAACATTCAGCAGTTTGGCAGCTGCTTTGCAACCTGGGAATGCATTTTAATTGGCATCACATAACTTTATGACTGAGAGATTTATTTCTCTCTCCACAAATTTCCTCCCCTCTTTTAGCCTATTAGTTGAAATGTTTGAGTTAATATTACAGGCATTTCCCACGTAAACTCTTCAGGGCCATGGTGCAATGACATGCCCAGTTTTCCTCCAGGGGGAAAAAAAAAGTGAAAAATCAAATTCTGCCAAAAAATGTTCTGTTAATTTTTAAATGTCATTTCCCCTTTCAGCCTGTTTTGTTTTGATCTCTGGCTATTGTTATTCACTTAATACAATTCAATAAAGTTGAGAATTTATTTTGATAGCCAATCTTGTCAATGTTAGCATATCAATAACATTTTCATAAAAGTAATATCTTTTGTACTACAGTTCACTGGATTTTTCGCAATAGCTCAGAAAGTTTGATGGTGTCAGCGAATTGTAAGTAAGCAGTTTTGCTTATTTCCCAGAAAGAGTAGATCACGTAATTAGCAATGTGCATGTGTTTTCTTTTTAAGGTGAAGCATCTCTTCAGTTGCTCCCTGAATTTATCTTTGATAAAGTACAAATATGAACCAGAAGTGTATGACTAAGAACCTCGGCTTTGAAGTTAGATGTATCTGCATTTGGATTTCAGCTCCGTTTCTGGCTTTATGCCTTTGGACAAATTACTTAGCCTCTTTTAGGTTTAGTTCCTTCATCAACAGGTTTAGGATAAGAATATTAACAGTGACTGAAGAAACATAAGTGAAAAACTTGGCATAGTGCTTGACAGGCACATATTACACAGTAAATTAACAGTAGTTAATTATTGCAATATAATAACATAATAAAAGAGATAATAATATTGTAAACCATGAATGGATAAGAAATAAATTTTAAGGAAATTCCCACTTTGAATGATATAAGAAAAGAATCATAGATTTGTGGTATCTTGGGCTATTATGTAATCTTTAAAGAAACATTTTAAGACCAGTTGTAGTTAATTCTTAGCTTCAGATAACAATGTTATTTTAAATCTTTAAAGTGCATAGTTATTTTGTGAATACAAAATAAAAAGCATTATATTTATCTCATTATATTTTGTTAACAATTTGAATGCATTTTTAGTAAGTCATTGGATACCTAAGTAAATTTGAAGACAAAAAAAAATCAAGGCACTTCTTTTTGTGAACTGGTATATTAGAGCAGAAGCATAATAAAGTAAAACCTATTGGAAATGCACTAAATCTTGAGTGTTTAATTATAGAACCCTATGGTTCTTAAAATCAAGTTAACTATAAAACTGTTTTTCCCTCTTTGATTATATTTCAAGTATTCCTACCCATTGTATCAACTGGTCAGAATTTAATCATTTGATAGATTATGACAATTCTAACTATTATACAAGATTTTGGAGAGTGAAGAGGCTGAACTAAATGTATATGAACCCTAGGAAATTCCTGGTTGTTATATTCTCTTGCTTTCTAACAAATCTTTGATAAAAGACAAACTGTATAAAACAGAAAATATTATATTAAATGAAAAATACACTCGTATTCAGAGCTTGTGTCTCATTGGGTTTGATTTATTAACATAGTTATTTTAAAATTATATCTATGTAACTCATATGCATATATGTATTATAAGTAAATTATACATAGTATGTGAATATACATATATGTATATATGTGGGTGTGTATATTCACACATACACCAAAATACGCACATATGGAATACAAATACATTGACCACAACTGTATATTATATTACAACTATTAACTGAAAAAATAGCAATTTTACTCTGTAGAGTTATTTTAATTTTTTAACAAAACACTGATTTTTAAAAAACGAATTAGCAACTTTAGTCTGTATTGTATTATGGCAAAAGACACTAAAAAATATTTTCCAGTTTTATTAGATTTCCCATCAGTTCTTTTCATCACAATGTAAATCAGAATGTGTTGGTTACCTTTTATGTGTCTACAAAATATGAAGTTAAGTTAAGAAATAGTATGGTTCCTGCCATTTAGATTTTTACAATCTGGAGAGAACAGTTTGCGTACATGGTATCATAAGCTTTCCTAGTATATAGTCAATGATGGAAGTTAAAGTGTATTGTACAAATGGAGTATGTAGCTTGGGGAGTATCTGGGTAAAGAGATGTTACCAAAGACAGGATTAATAACAGATGGCTACAGAAAAACAAAATAGTTGAGCTGGGAAAGATGCATGAGTATTAAAATGGAACAAAAAGCATAAAAAGGGGTGGTTTAGGCAGAGAGAACGGGAACAAAGTTTAAAAAAACAAATCACGTTAGAGGAAGAAATAACTATGACCTAGTTTTGAAACAGCTAGAAACTGTTCTTAGTTGCTTTGTTAGAGGCTTTATATGAGTGAGGAGTAATGAAAATTACAGAGTGAAAATAAGGGTGGAAACTACAAGATGATATTAATTTGCCTATGGATTTAAAATGAGATAAATCTTAAATTATATTGACAGGTGTGTGAATTCACATCAAAGGAAACTATGATAGCACTGTATTTTGTGTTTATAACCTATATCTCAATAATTATATTGACTTTTTGCACAGTTCTTTATTAAATAAATATTAAACTAGCATGTACCAGAAAGTGTGACTATAATGTTAAAAGTACTCAACGTTCATACAAATAATTTTTGAGGAACTTCTGAATCTACTACTAACACTATTACATGATTACAAAAAGATGTTTATTATAAAATAAAAATCCATTGTATTAACATATGAAAGCACAGATCTTTGTGGGAATTTTATCAAGCTTATAATATAGAAATCTACAAGTAAAATATATATCTGCTTCTATTAGAAATTACCAATAGCATATTTAGAGATATAAATGGGTTAAATTAGTTGTAAAAATTCATCTGAGAAAACATTTCATACACCCAGGACAAACATCTGAAGTCCTAAATTCTCTCTCCCTGGACTCATCACATTATCCTCTAATCTCGTATCCCACATAATAACCAAAGCATCAGTTTTGCGTTGGTATACAGGTTAGGATATTAGACAGTCAGTAGACACAAAGGCAGTTATGCATTTGTCAGATGACATATGCCATTCCAGAGGAGATGACTGAGAAGCTGGGGCACAACACATTGCTTTTGACAACCTTATGATGTGAGTTGTAGAAAGAGTAGCATCCAGGGTCCTGGATTTGGAGTTCTTGGTAAACTTTCCATGAATTGGATTAGGATTCCAAAGGATTATACCCTAAGAGTTAGGGATTTCAGAACATTATATCCTGAGAGTAACAGTAAACCAGGAATATGTAGAATTGTAAAGGCTGAAGATAGTGTTGAATTTTTTCAAAAAATGGAATTACTAACACTTCTCAGACTTTCAAATGATTTTCTTCATCAGATAAAAACATAATAACCAAGAGGAGAAGAAGAAAAGATAGAATACCAAAAAAAAAAATGGAAAGGCATAAATTACACACAATAGAAAAGACATTAAACAGGTACATTTATTAAGGAAGGAGATTTAAAAAATTAAGAATCTCAGTCAAGAATTGGAATCTATAAAAACAATAGAAGCATTAGGTCTGAAATGTAGAGTAAATTAAGTAAGTAAATGGATGGCTTATGCTTAAAATATGTATGACACAGCCAGAGATAGACGGTGATCTAGAAGAAAGGTCATACAAACACCCATAATGAATCATGAAGAGAGAAACGTGGAAAACATAGACAAGTGAGTAAAAGACATAAGTGATTGAGAGACAGAAAGTCTAACATATACATAACAGCCCTAGTGGATATTAACTGTATAATATTCTTCTATCTCCTTGTACTTAATAAAGGTAACTATTTAATGTTTTTTTCTATTTTGTGTAATTTATCCCCTTTCCCCTTTTTGATAATTGATATTAATTTCTCCTCCTCTTGGTTATTATATTTTTATTTGATGAAGTAAATCATTTTAAAGTCTGAAGTGTTAGTCATTTCATTTTTTGAAAAAAATTCAAAGCTAGTCCTCAGTCCTTGCAATTTTATATATTTCTGGTTTACTCTTACCCTCTGAGTATAATCTTCTGGAGTCCTAACTCCTAGGGTGTAATTCTTTGGAATCCTAATCCATTCATAGAAAGTTTACCAGAGCCTCCAAATTTAGCACCCTGGATTCTAATCTTTGTACAAGTAGCACCACAAGGTTTTCAAAAGCAATGTGCATTTTGTCAGCTTCTCGGTCATCTCTTCTGGAAATGGCAGATGAGCTTCGGGAAAAAACCAGTCTCCAATGCTGGCCTCAACTTTTCATGTTTTCTTTACATGTATCTAGCAATTACTCATAAATTGTAATTCATCTTTGGCTTACTAGCTCTGTGATATCTTCATATCATGTTAAAATGCTTTTTCCTCTCAATGCAGAAGTGTTTTTTATTTTCCTTACTTTTGCATCTCCTAGATCTAGCACAATTAAAATAACTTAACATTTCTTGCATGTTTAATATGTCATAAACAGTATTCTAATATTTATAGGAAAACCATTATGAGATAATTACTATAATCTCTATTTTTTTCGACATAGAGCCTGAGGCTTGAACAGTTTAAGTGACTTGCTCACAATTTCATAACTAGCAAGTGGCAATATCAAAATCTGAACCTGATACTACGACACTAGAAATGAAATCTTAACCACTGCAATACAAATTAAAAGCATAGAGGTTTGCAACAGTATCTCTTGAATAAACTAATTTAAAATTTAATTTCATGCTTTTATTCTTCCCAGTTTGAATTGTTTTCTAAACTCTGTTTTTACATTGTGAGATGACTATACAAAGTAAGTTATATCAGATTCTTGCAAATCTTTGGCATTTTATCTTGAATATGAGTCAAAATTATGTGGGTTTTTATTGTTGGAGCAGGAATTTAGGAATGCTCATTAATCCATATGCACAACTTCCAAGTTCTTTTTGGATTGAAACATTGAGAACATTTGTTTTCTTATCTTTTTGTACATTACATTAAAACCGAATTATAGCCCTCCAAAATCTCATTTAATTAAGGCTTTCTGTTAGTTGGGTTCTGGTTTTATAGAACTGTTGTGATTATCTGTTTCTCATTTTCAGAGTCTTTGTTTTTGCACAACCATAAGATAATAATGCTGTCTCTCAATCACTTATGTCTTAGGGCAGCATTTTGTTCCTTAGAATACTTGAATGTCTAATGCCTTATAATCTCTATTGTTGTTGCCAATTAATGTCTACTGAGTTTCCATGGGTTATATTTGACTATACTAAATGTTTTCTTGGCTTGGAGGTGATTCTGTTGCATTTAATATTGTATATGTAATCAACACAAAGGAAAATAATGTATGTAGATAGGATGAATGTTGGGCATAAAAAAGTATTTGTTTCATTGCACTAACACACATACAAACGCATCAAAGAAACACTATACCTCTATCACAAATACATTTTTTTGGTCTTTATGGGTAATTCTATGCTTATATAATATCATCAATACATTTATTTTGCTTCTGTTCTATATTTTGGCTTTATACATTTTCTATGTAAATTTGATCAAAATAATTATTATGGAAATATTATAATGTTTCATTACAGCATATTATGTTACTATATATTAGAGAACTCATTATTTTTATAGTGGCAATAAAATCCATTGTATAAATATACAGATAACTTGACTATCTCCTTTATTAAAAGATATATCAATCATTTCTAAATTTTATAATTATAAATAATATATAAAGTTTAATTCCATGTATTTAAGATTATATACCTAGGGTAAGTTCTAAAATACATAATTACTGAATCAACAGGTTAATAAAATTGTTTTGATGGATATTGATAATAAATTTACTTCCTAAAATTTGCTTATCAATTTGCAAATCAAAAGACATAATGGTTTTAGTGTCTTCTTCTTATCCTTGGATATTCACACTTCAGCATTTTTTTCTTGTTTATTTATTAGCATCTAAAAACATTTTTTGATATTAGGAAACTAATAATAGCCATTTATAAGAGCAAGATTATTTGTAAAAATATGTAGGATGATTATGTTTTGCCACGGAATAGGATTAGAACACCAAATTGGAAATTGCAGGAATGAATTCTCTCTAGTAGTTTAATGAATTCATCCAGCATGAAAGTAAAAATATGCCATTACATTTCACAGTCTTTCATTCACAGAGATGTGAAAGACTATTAGCATTAGAAATTAAATAAGCAAAATTATTTGATCCCAACGAATGACATGGTAGTGAAAGCTGACGATCAATTTAATGTTAATCTTTGAATTTTGGGCCCCATAAAGTTTTATTCTCTGGTATCCCAGGTGCCTAAAAATTACAATGGATGTCCCCCATTTTCATGGCTTTTGCTTGGTAAAAAACTGTGTATGTCTTGTCCTGATTCACATTGATTCCCTTGTCAGTCATACCTCATTCCAAAGAGGACTTAAATCACCCAGCGTTCTTTTTTGAAGTTAAAACTACAAGCAAAGATATGAATCCACTGTGCTCAGGACAAAGGTTTAAAACAAGAGGTGAAGTTTAACAAGTTCATGCCAGATTTTAACATGTTCCAGAATTTCTCACAAGTCTACCAAAGTGAGAAGTTGCTGTGTGAACTCCTTATGGTCCTACTTCTGATTTAGAATATTTTTTCCCCTGACATATACCAGTTTCAGTTGTAAAAAATAATAATAATAAGGTGACTAAGTACTCTTTTTCTTCAGGTCACAATATTAATGGAAGTGTTTCAGTCGATGTCACCCAGAGCTTTCAGAGCCAGAAACTCTTCTGAATGCTGCTGAGCTTGACTGAATGCAAAAAGCTATTTTCCCTAAGGGTGGAGGAAGAAAGCTGGGTGATTGGGGGCTGGGAGCAGAAGGTACATTAAAGATTATTCTGACATTAGTTTACTTTGAGCTAATTAAGTCCAGGTGGCCCCACATTATTGTGTAAGGTCCAAATGTCATAAAAAAAATGGACTTAGCACTCACTTTGATGCTAATGTATAGAATTGATCCATTCCATGCTTTTCCTTTGAACCCGTAGCCTCCAGAATAAGTGATCTCCAGTCACCTCAGAAAATAAGCATTACGGAGCTCTGACTCTGTACATGTCACTGACACGAAAATATCTGTAAATCAGTATCTGGTGAAATCACGACAAAGTAATTTTTAGCTCTGTGCCCCATTTGCAAAGAGGCCAGATGTCTAGGCTAAAATAATTTTTCTCACACACAAGTTTTTCTCTGAAATACTAAAGATTGGTCTTTTGGATAATATTTAGGAAGTTAAAAAATGTAGGGACAACTGAAATTTGCTTTTCTATACGGAAGTTTTTGGGATTTACTTTAGTCAAGGAGACATTCCATCATTTCATTTGAAATAGCTCTTAATTGAAGTCATGGTTGTCTTTTGGGAACACTCCTTGATAATTGCATGAAGTTAAGAATATGAGAATACAACCTGCAAAAGCTCATGAATGACTATTGACATGGAAGATCTTGATATGCCAGGTATGACATTTATTCCACTTAACAAAAGAAACAAAACAATTAAAATATTATTTATCTGAGCAGTTAGTCCCCACTGAGAATGATTTATGCCTGAAAATGCTTCAGAGATGTAAAAGAGTAAAGAATAAGAAGGGAGTGTTAATAGGGGGTGGAGACACATGCTAGAGAACATTGTCTGCGTTAAGTCTTTGGTAAAAGTGTCATTGAGTTGCTCACCTTGGGTCCTATCCAGGATAAAGTCTCAATGTCTCTTCAAAATAAAGTAGACACAGTTTAAGGTACTGTCTATTTCAGGAACTGAACTATTTAATTAAATAGATTTTAAAGAACTGAACTATTTAATTAAATAGATTAAAAACCTTCCCTAGAATCGAAGTTGAGGTAATCTTTCTTCCACTACATTACTTCCTGAAGTTAGAAAAGATGAAATAGAAAGGACAGAAAACAGGTGGAGAGGGATCACTCTGGTGTCAACCACCAGAATTTGAATTTTGCCTCCACTAATTTTTAGCTGTGTTGCTGTGGTTCTGCTATTTTGCCTCTCGAGGCTCCGT